GAGCTTGCTGCCCTGGATGGCCTCCTCGCACGGGTGCCATCTGCGGGCTCCAAGGCGCAGCGCTCTCTTCGGCAGTGAGTGTGGGGCTGGGTGATCACGGGGCATTCACTGAGCCATGCCCAATTGCTTTACTGGCCCCAATCACTGTGTTTCTAATCCTATTTTCTACAGCAAACTCGGGGCCTTGGAGAAGACGCTGGCACAAGTGGAGCTTGGAGGACAGAACCAGACCTTTGGGAAGGCCGCCCTGCGTGCGACTGTGCTGAGCATCAGCCCCACACAGGCTCCTCGCCACCTGGCCTTTGCTTCCCCAAAAGAGGTGGGTCCATGTTACCCTGGGGCTAAGCACCCCACTCATCCCCATTGCCCCCAAAGGGCTCAAAGCAACGTGCCAGCATCCACCCAAGCTCCATCCCAGTGGGTCTGTCCTTGCAGGAGAGCAGAGAGGTGCAGGGGTTTGCTGTGGACCTGCCAAGAAGCCTATTTGTGATGGTAAAGAAGAAGGAGGAGGAGGTGGTGGAGCACAGGGTGCTCCTGGTGGACATCAACAGCCAAGCCATGTTCCAGGTAATGCCCACACCATGTGGCGCAATGGGTGTCCCTGCATCCGTCCCTGCTTCAGAGATGTTAGGTGCTCCAAAGATTAACTGCAGCACAAAGGAGAGGCACAGGACCTCCCCTCTGGGACCTCTCCCTTCCTGTTGTGTGACCACTTCCTTCTGCAGGATGAGAACAGCAGCCACATCCTGGGTGACAAGGTGGTTGGCATCTCCCTGGTGAACACGGTGGTGGCCAACCTCTCCGAGCCAGTGGTTCTCACTTTCTTCCACAACCGGCTGCCGGTAGGTGGGGAAAGAGCCTCATTACACCCAATCCCTCCAGGAATAGAGAGTGAGGGCAAGGAGACTGTTAGATTGAACAGTGATCGCCACCCAGTGGGTCCATGTCCTTCCTTGGTCTTTCTGTGGCATCTTCTGGGGCTTCACCACACAATCTCCAGGACTGGGAACACTGTGTAGCAGTTTCTCTGCTCATTCATTCAGCTGATGAAAGCTGAACCCCTTGTTTAAAGATGGGGCCTGGGGAGTCTCTACCTGAAGCCCACACAGGCCTTCTGTCGCCTGCAGCCATCTCACCTCCTGCCCAATGTTGCCCCTACCAAACCTCATTCCCAGGCTGTGAGCCCTGCACAGCACCCGAGCATCTGTGGTTTTGTCATTTCAGAGGAATGTGACCCCACGGTGTGTCTTCTGGAGGGAGGATGGCACCGGTGAGTGTATCTCTGTTTGGGTGTGGAGTGCAGATGATGTCCCTGTTCCTTCAGCTAGGTACCAAAGATGTGCTGTTCTGCACCTCCCTGCCTTGTTCCAGCTCCATGAACCCTCCCCATGATGGGAGGATCCCAATCTCTGTCCTCCCCACTGCTATGGACGCTTTGGAAGCTCCAAAATCCCAAAGCTGCTGTTCCTGCTGCTCTCTCTTTCTCTTGCAGCCAGCTCTGGGAAGTGGGACAGCTATGGTTGCACGACAGTAGAGGGGGACACACGGACAGACTGCAGATGCAACCACCTCACCTACTTTGCCGTGCTGATGGTGGGTACCACCTTCCCTCAGCTCTCTCTGTCCTTCCCACTGTTCCCTCACTGTTTCTCATTCCTCTTTCTCCCCAGGTATCATCTCCAGAGATCTCCTACCTACACAGGGACTCCCTGAGCATCATCACGTACATAGGCTGCCTCATCTCAGCTTTGGCATCCATCTCCACCATCTTTTTTCTCTACTTCAGGTATGGGTTGGGTGCTCTCTTCCCACTGGGTGGCACAGCTAGAAGCACAGTGAAGGAGCCAGGTTGGAACAAAGTAGAGTGCTCCTTTCCAGAAACCATTGCCTTGGCCAGGTTTCCTGCAGGGTGCTCAAAAACACCTGCAGTTTTCAATGACTGGGGAAATTCAGCTTGGTGATTGTCACGGATCTGGCAAACAGGAGCCAGCGTGACACCGCGGGGTGTTTTGGGGCACTGAGGATGCTGGCCAGGTGTGGTGCTGAGTTCTCTTCCCCTCGGTTCTCCAGGAGCAAGCAGCGAGACCAGATCACAAGCATGCACATCCACATGAACCTGCTGGGTGCCATCTTCCTCCTGGACTTCACCTTCCTCATCTCGGAGCACTTGGCTTCCAGCAGCAGTCAGGCGGCCTGCAGAGCCGGGGGGCTTTTCCTGCACTTCTCCCTCCTCAGCTGCCTCACCTGGATGGGCATCGAGGGCTACAATCTCTACCGGCTTGTGATCGAAGTCTTCAACGCCTACCATGACCACTTCCTCCTCAAGCTCTGCCTGGTGGGCTGGGGTGAGGACTGGGGAGGCAGAGACCCCCGAGGGGCAGGGCAGTGGGGTGATCAGGCACATGGATTCTGCTCCTGAGTCTTCTCCACCGTATGTGGTGCTTGGATAGAGATGGAGACGTGTTGGAAGAGGTGTCTGAGATCAGAGACACCCAGGGCTGTCCGTACAGATGGGCTTGGGACAGGAGATGTTCACACATCCTTGCTTTGCTTTGGAAAGGAGGGTATGGTAGGGCAATATTGTGATCTTTGGTGGCCTAAAATTCCAATGCCCTATGAGATCCCCATGTGGGTCTGTGCATCACAAGCCTGCTCCTCAGCCAGGGCTTACACCAGGGGTCCTCATTGCACGCTCCATCCTCGGTTCACCCCAAGGAGAGGAGGTTCTTCAAACACCATACAAGGAAAAAGGGGAAGGAGTTCTTTCCAGAAGGTCTATGGGTCAGAGTTGAGGGTGGCTGCTTCATTCTGTTCTTGACACACAGGACTTCCCTTCTTTTGTGTGATGTTGATCTTCCTGGCTAATTGGACCAACTACGGCCCCTTCTACATTCCCGTCTATGAATCTGTTGGTGGAAGGTCCACCAATGCAACCATGTAAGTCAAAGGAAACTGGTCTTAAAGTCATCTGGTTGAGCTTCCACCACATCCTATAGGTTTTCCTTAGCCCACAGACTGTGCCTTACCCAGGGCTTTGCAGGGTGGGATCCCCACTGCGTGTTTTACTGCGTGCTCCCCCCAAACGCTCTGCCTTGTGCCCCCATGGGATGACACAGCATAACCCTCTGCCTTTCTCCTCCCTCTAGATGCTGGCTCACGAGCCCTCTGATCCATAACGTGGTGAACCTGGGATTCTTCAGCGTGGTGTTCCTCTTCAACTTGGTCATGCTGGGGGCCATGGTCCGGGAGATCCTCCGGCAGAACAAGAAAGGTCACAAGCTCAAGCATGTGCTGGCCCTCTTTGGGCTGAGCATCCTTCTGGGCATTCCATGGGCACTGGTGTTCTTCTCCTTCACCTCCGGTGTTTTCCGCCTCGTCTCCCTCTACATCTTCACCATCGTCAACTCACTCCAAGGTGATCCTGGGGCACTGGGCTCCTCCAAAGGGCATGAGCTGCCCTGGGGCTCTGGGTGGGATAGGTCAGGCAGTGGGTGGGTATGAGAGGATCTGGCCCACTGGCAGACCAGTGCCTCACTCTCAGCTGCTGATGGTCCCTCAGAGGGATTCACCCACCTTTTCTCCCTCCTCTCCCAGGTTTTCTCATCTTTCTCTGGTACTGGACCATGGTGCTGCAGGCGAAAAAGTCTTCTGACTTCCAGTGCAGCTCTGACAGTGTGAAGCTACAGCCCAACAGCAGCCAGAGCCACCCCGGCTGAGCCCCGTGCTGGCCGTGCCGTGGGGCTGCCTGGCAGAGGGTGGTCGCTTCGCTACTGCACCCGCTGGGAGTTCAGGGACCCACGGCGGGGACCCTCAGCCCCTCGCCTCCGCTGGCCCCATATTCCCCATCACTGCATCCCCCCGAGTATCTGGGTGTCCCCATCCCTGCCTGCCTGCTCCTTCAGGGACGGGGCTGGCTCCCGGGGCAGGGCAGAGGGATGCATAGGGCTGCGGCATGGGGCAGGGACAGGGCCCTCTGTGCTTCCCGATGTCCCTTCCACTGCCCCAAGACCAGCAGGTGGGAAAGACCCCGTCTCTAGCCCTTGCTTGTGGCCACCGATAGGGCCCTTCCCAGGTGAAGACAGAATAACAAGCCACGGGGACACCCTCTAGCAGCTGAAATAATCTATTTTTGTTATTTTGTTGAATGTTTCTCTATTTTTGTATGGTGTAAACGTTGAATGATTGCGCTCGCACGTCAGACCTGTGCCCATTAAAGTCATACCCACTCTGAGTGTGTCTCCTCAGGGTCTCTGCTGCTGGTGAGCTGTCCTTTGGGGTCCCTCCTTTGGTCATGCCCATGGGTGGCACAGGCTTAGCTGACAGTGAAACACTCCAACGTATGCCTTGCTGTTCGTTGGCACAGTAGGGTTGGGCAGGATGGGGTGAGATGGGAAGGAAAAACAAAAGCCCGGAGGTCGCTGGGGAGGCGAAGCAGCTCCGACCGCTAATCGTGGTTGGCATCAAGCTGAAGGCAGGAGTTTACATGGCAACCCACAGGAAGGGGGTTGCAGAAAGGAAATGAGGACACTGCGGTTGCCTCAGGAGAAGCTGTGAGCCCCTGGGGAGCCTGCAGAAGAGCAGGGCTGTGGGACGGGAGACCCTGGACGGAGCATGGAGCTCACACACCTGAGCACGGTTCTTCTGCTCCTGTTGTTCCCTGGTGAGTGCCGGCTGGGTGGGATGGGGCTGGGCGGCACTGGGACAGCCAGGAGGGGCTGGGGGATGTCCATGTGCTTGCTTCAAGCTGGCACCCATTTCCCCTATAAGAGTGAGGGCTGACACTGGGTTTTTCCCCCTGCAAGGCACCGTGCCAGGCCAGGACAGCTGTGATGGTGAGACCCCAGCCCACCCACACCCCATCAGCCTCCATGCCACCGCCGGGCCCTGACTGCTGCCTCTCACAGCACTGTCTCGTGGGGACAAGACCAAGCAGTGCTGCAACATGGCGGTGGAACTGGAGGAACGTGGTGAGGGCCGTAGTCTGACCCTGGAGCTGCCCCACCAGTGCATGGAGCTGCGTCACTCAGGCCAGCCTGCCTGCCGCTGCCTGCGGGCACGCTGGCTCAGGTAGTGGGGCAGTGCTGCAGGGTGCTACAGGGCCATGGCAATGCCTTGGGCTGTGCCCCATGGAGCTGTGGGGTGCTACGGGGCCATGGCAATGCCTTGGGCTGTGCCCCATGGAGCTGCGGGGTGCTATGGGGCCATGGCAATGCCTTGGGCTGTGCCCCATGGAGCTGTGGGGTGCTATGGG